CAAGCAGGGGAACAAGACAATCAGAGGAACAATGGGAAATATCAAGGCACTATAGGAGTTGTTGAACTAAGAGAACAAAAGAAGCAAGGACATAGGATTTGAAAAAGAAATATGAAAAGAAAAACTCTTATTTTTTCTGAAGTTTTCATTTTTTTTTGTGGTGGCCAGTGTGCTAATTGGCCCAAAAATACAATTTTATTTTTATTCGAAATCATCATCAAAAGTTAATTATTGTACGTATGCCTTAAAAACCGAAACCAGAACCCTGCGGGTGCACATGTTCCTTTGTAGGTAAACAGGTCCTAGAGGGTTTTGTGGTCTGTTATTGGTTTATGAGGATTGTAATTCCCCATAACAACCGTCTACTGACGACCAACTCACCCCCAACATCAGTCCATCACATCCCCCACCCCAGGATCAGTCCATCATATGCTGTATATTTATGTCCATTTGGGGGCCCCCAGGTTTTCCCAAACATCATTTTGATAGACCTCCCAAGCCAAACATCATTTTGATAGACCTCCCTAGGTCCATCACCTACTGTAGCCTGATACTTAAAGGTTCTCCTCACTGTCCATCACATGCTGTATAGAGACTTGTCAATTGAGACCTCCCCCATCACCAATGCCAGTCCATCACATGCTGTATATCTATGTGTCTATAATTTTCCCCCACCCCCAGGTCCGAATTTCAAATGCTGTATATTTGTGTCCATCCCCCAATGAAAATCTACCACATGCTGTATATTTATGTGTCCATAACTTCCACCACCCCCAGGTCCGAATATTAGATGCTGTATACATATACAGGTATATCCATTATTTTCCAAAACATCACAGACCACCCAAGGACCATCACATTGTGTCCCATTCCCAATGTCACTCCATCACATGCTGTATATGTGTCCAATTTTCCCCACTCGAGGTCCGAATATCAGATGCTGTACATTTATGGCAATTTTTTTCCCAAATATAATGTGATAGACGGTCAGTCCATGCTGCATATTTATGTGTCCAGAATTTTTAACCATCACTTTGTGGAAAATAATTCCACAAATGTTGATTTTTATTGCTTGACGGTAGGCTGGTGGTAGGCCAAGAAACCTACTTTACGTAACGGTATAGTATATCAGATGTGTCTAGGCCTAGGGTCGTGACAAAGTGTGAGTCAGCGAGTCATGAGAGCCAGCGAGTCATGCGAGCCAATGCGCGAGCCATATATTTTAATTCCTTTCTTTTTCCACCGGGAAGCTTTGTATGTGTGTACATGTGTGTGTATATATTTATATATTTATTTATATATTTTTATATTTATTTGTATATTTATATATATATTTATTTATTTGTATATCCATTTATATATATAGGCCTATGTATATATTTATTATATATATTTATTTATACATTTATTTTTATATACTTATTTGTGTATATATATTTATTTATTTATATATATATATATATATATAATATAATATTGTTTTATTTATATATTTATTTATATATTTGTTTGTATATTTATTTGTATATTTATTTATATATTTATTTGTATATGCATTTATATATATTTATATGTTTATATATTTATTTATATAATTATTTAAAATTTTTTTATATATTGTTTGTATATTTATTTGAATATTTATTTATTTATATATATTAATATGTTCATATATTTATTTATATATTTATATATTCATTTGTATATATATATATTAATAAATTCATATATTATAATTTATGTTTATATATTTATTTATATAATTATTTAAATACTGT